CTTGATGGAGCTTCAATATTTTTTCAGGGTGAAGGGTTCATGGTCGGGGTTCAGTTAAATCCTATAAGGGGCTTGCCATCTGGATTTCCTCTAATTTTTTGACTTCTTTTAATAATACATGTAATTGTACCTCCCAGTATTTATAATTCTTTTCAATTTGTTTGACAGGATCTGTTAAGTTTTATTCTGGAATATATTAAAGATAAGATGGTGGAGCCTCTGCTTGAGGTGAGGGCACTAAAAATATGCACAATTTCAATTTCGCACATGCATTATTTCAACTTACATCTGCTGTTCTTAGGATTGCTTGATATACACTTTTGCTTCATATAAGCTTAAACTTTTGGGTAAAGTAGTTATCGATGTGGTAACAGGGACATGATTGAGAACTTTAGCAAGACATTTAAATTATATTCATTTATGCCTTTCTTGGAGGGAAATTCTTAAATTGAGACTTTTCTACATGGCCTGAAAGCCCGCATGACCGAATAGTATGTTGCTAGCATAGATCACGCATCATGGTAGTGTTGGTTACCTTTCAGCTTAATCTTGTAGATTTAGTAGGTACCTGATAAGTATGCTCTTATATAATTTTGTTCCAAAAATTTTATGGTTCTGGTTTGTAAATAATTTTTTTATTTCTAGATTGAGGAAGAGAAGTACTTAGACAGAGTCAAGTGGAAATACTAGCAAGTTTATCCTATATTTTATGCTTAATTAGGAGATCCGATGTTTGAAGTATCAAAAACTAATTTGATAGTGTTAAATTGGGCAAAGATTAAAAAGCAATATAAACAAAGAGAAAACTTATGGTTAGATTAATATTCCATTTATTGACATATCACATATGAAGCTTCGAAAACTCCAATATTCCCAATATTTGTGCGAGCAAAGGCAAACACCAAAATCGAGGTCACAAGTAGATTTCTAACCAAAAATAAAATTTACATGTCAACGTCCCATTTCATCTATAGATATTTTCTTTTGCATAACATTCATCTTTGATCATAGCAAGGTGCAACTTGTTTTTACATGATAAAATATGAATATCAATTTGTATTGCTGCAGTGGTTTATTTTCTTGCTTCTTAACAGATATGACATCAAGCTGAATAATGCCATTCTCGCAGAGGACAAGCATGTGCCCATGTAAGTTTTTCAATATCTCCCGGGAACCTTTTTTGGTTTATTCTTTTAAGTATTGCAAGTGAAAAAATTATACATCTTGTTTTCTTTTGTTTCTCTTTTCTTATAACATATATAGCATCTGCATAAGGATTCATATTGAATATCTAACTTTATATATACGTTTTGCACTGCAGTTAAACATGCATTCATATAGTTTTATATTTATATGGAGATATGTAAGCCTGTATATCAGTTTTACTGCAAGTTGCATTGACCTTCTTGTTGTTAACAAAACGTTGACGTTTTTTTTTGTGCCTCCATCTAGGTATGAACAAATGGCTTCAAAGTACAGTGTCAAGTATATTACTGAAGGTAAAATTTTGGTTTAAATAATCATTATGACACAAAATCTTAATTCAATTTTAAATTATATGATAATTTAGGCCATATATTATGTTAACCTCAGGGGCTACACAAAATGCAATCAGGGTTGCCCAGGTATATTTAACATATGAATGTCAATCTCCTGTATTTTATGAAGCTATGTCGACTTAACAGTTTTCTGATGTCATATTCAATTTTGCAGTGGATGCTTCAAACTCCTGGTGCAACTAGATTTATGGGTTGCATTAGAAAGGACAATGAAGAAATGAAGAGAGCCTCAACAGCTGCTGGTGTTAATGTAAGTTGATTTGTTCATTCCATTTTGCTTTCATGTTGACTTTTTTGGGCCAATTTAAATAAAATCTACCATGATAATCACACAGGCTCACTATCGTGAGGATGAGACTGCTGCAAACGGTACATGTGTTGTCTGTGTTGTTGGAGGTGAAAGGTAGAGATTCATCGCATATCTTCTCTATCATTAGTGGCAAAACATTGTGTACCTTCAGTTCCTACAAAGAGTTGCATGCCAAATCTTATTCAATTATAAAAAATAAAAAGAACGTCATATTATACATAGCATTTATGATAGTTTTATGATAGTTAACAAACTTATTTCAACATGCATGATATCTATCACCTTCAGAAAGATGAAGTAAAGCTTGCATCCAATAGGGTTCAGCCCCGAACAAAACCTCCAGAACATCCTGCCACTAATATAAAATTAAGCTAGAAGGAACCAACATCATGCGAGTAGTAACAAAAAACCTAGCTCAGAAGGGAGAAACTTCAACAGAGGTAGGAAATGTGAAGGAAAACATACTGCTGGGAGACAATATCAGTCACATGACCATGAAACTACACCTAATGTGAGACGAAGACAAATTATAGATGAGTGATCTGCATCAACCAGTGATAATTCGATGGGAAGAATGTATGAATCGAATCCTAGATTTTTCTCAGAGGAACCAAATGAGAGTGGACAGAGATTGAGTTTATTCTATTGTAAGGGATGCAAACTCTCTATTATGCCCCACTTGATCCATAAATGTTTATCATCTATCTATATGTTTGCTACATGATTTAAATTCAATATTTTTTTATCAAATCAATCTCTACAAAATTTAAAAATTTGAAATAAAAATTTTAACCACGTGCATTGCACGTGTAATCTAACTAGTACTATTAAATAAAGGAGGTTCTCCTCGTGGTAATATGTATGCTTCCTAACGAAAATTATGTATGCTTCCTAACGAGAATTTGTTACCTCGTCATGGACAGACAAAAAATTAACTAGATTGGTCTCAACAAAGTTCACACTACATAAACATGCAATATTATTTCTGGTTGTTGTGTTTGGATAGATTCCAACTAAAGATAAGCTCACACAGTTTGGTATTGATGATGGTTTTTTAATCTTATCTTAACGTCAGATGATGATGATGGTTGGGTTTGTATAGAAGCTCGAAATTCATATAGTTTGGAATGATGCTATATATTGGATTAAAGACAATGTAGAGCCAACTTTACATATATTGGATTAAAGACCGCTCGATAGTAGTTTGGTATTGTTGATGACAAATTTCTTATTTTAATATCTCTTTTTGATCAATACGTAAAAAAGATGTAAATTGGTTTTTGAATTTACTGCATATTTATGTGCATATTGAAGAGAACGGCAGCGGATCTCACTTGAGAACGGAGGCGAATGGCGGCGTGCATCTCGCCTGCAGATCTGGGAGTCGGAGCTCGCCTACAGGCATCGGAACTCACCTGGTTTGGCGTGGAGAGGCGAGGAAGTTCACCTGGAGCGCTGGAGTTCGAGGAGCTCACCTGTTGGAGGCGAGGTCGCCTGCGGGCGAGGGGCTGGACTTCGAGATCGCCTGCGGGCCTTGCATGGAGAGCTCGCCTGATGGCTTCGTGGTGGAAGCCAGCTGGATCGCACAACTGACCTAGGGTTTTCCTATAAAAGGGAAACCCTATTCACGAGCTGAATGAGCCTCATCTCGCGTTTTCTCTGATCTGAGGAGTGGCAGCGGTTCTCAAAGGCGATTTAAGAAGCAATTTTTTGGTCAAGAAAATTGAGATTGAGGTGATTTATTCAGTTGAATAAATCACACACGATACTGTAGAGAGATCTCAAGTTTGAGAACTTCTCTTTGCAAGTTTGTAATTTCTTGTGTAAGAAATTATTTGTGTGGCTCCCATAGATGTAGGCAAGTTTGCCGAACCACGTAAATCTGTTGTCCTATCTGATTTACTTATTGCTTTATCTGTGTATTCGTTATTGCTTGGGTTGGTCGTTCTCTCTCTGGGTGATTTAGCTTCCGCAGCTGTCAAGTGGGCGTCCCTCACTCCCAACAATTGGTATCAGAGTCCTTTATTCAGATTAGTGGTGGTAGAACTTTTGATCTGAGGTGGTGCTTGGTTATTGTGTGGTGCACACAAGGTATTTGTTAAAATTTCCCGAGAGAGGCAGTTTTACTAATACAAGCGGAGAATGACGTCTACCAGTAAAATTGTTAAAGTTGGAAAGTTTGAGATCGAGAAATTCAATGGGAAGAATAATTTTTCCTATTGGAGGATGCAGATGAAAATTCGCTGGTTTCATAGAAATTGCACAAGGCTTTGGTAGGAAAAGAAAAGAAGCACAAATATATATCAGATGAGGATTGGGAAGAATTAAATCTCGAAGCACGAGCGTCGATTATCCTATGCATTGAAAGGGACGTTGCTTTCTTAGTGGATGGAGAGGAAACAACTACGGGCGTATGGTCAAAGTTAGAGAGTACCTTCATGACGAAGAGTCTAACAAATCGGATCTATTTGAAATTCAAATTGTATACTTGCAAAATGAAGGAAGGTTCTTCAATACGGGAATATATCTATAAGTTTGATAGGATCATATCGGATTTGAAGGACATTGATATGAAAGTAGAAGATGAGGATCAAGCACTTCTGCTATTTCTTTCTTTACCAACATCTTATAAGAACCTGATACAAACATTGATTCTCGTAGGTGACAATTTGAAGATGGATGAGACTAGAACGGTGCTTCTGGCAGATGATCTTTAGAAAATTACAACTAGTGATATGGCCACTAGTAGTAACAAGGAGAAAGCACAAGGATTGTTTGTAAGGGGAATGAGCAATGAGCAAGGAAAAGGCAAGGGAGGAAAGTCTAGATCGAAATCAAGACCTCTTGCGGGAAGACTGTGTTTTAAATGCAGTGAGCTTAGGCATTTCAAGGTTGACTGTCCTAACAAGAGAGTATGTGAGAAAAAGAACAATAATAAAACCAAGAGGAGAGAAGGCAAGGAAGAGGCGGGTTATGTCTCAGAGAAAGGGAGCGATAAAGAATGCTACGTTGTTACGGGTAGCGAAGATATCTCTAGTAAGTGGATTCTTGATTCGGGTTGCTCTTACCATATGTGCCCAAATAAGAAGTGGTTTACTAACTATAGAAGCATTGATTATAGAACCGTATTGATGGGGAATAACCATGCTTATAAAACAGTAGGGCTTGGCGATATCAAAATCAGGATGCATGATGGAGTGGTCAGAACCCTGACGGATGTGAGGCACGTTCCTGACTTGCAGAAGAATCTTATCTCAGTTGGTGCTTCGGACTCCGGTGGTTGAAGAAAAGTAACAGAGAACATAGTAAAGAAAGTTGTTCGGGGTTCCTTAGTAGTGATGAAGGGTATTCGTCATAGTAATCTATATACTCTCTCGGGTATAACAGTTGGAACTAATGGAAGTGACGGAGACCCATGTGAGCACACTCGGTTATGGCATAAGGGGCTTGGGCATATATCAGAGAAGGGTCTAGATCTGCTTGGTAAGGAAGGTTTGCTGAAGAACATGAAGAAACCTTACATGGACTTTTACGAGGATTGTGTGTACGGAGAGGTGCATAGGGTCCAGTTCTTGAAAAGTAAGCACAAGAGCAGAGGCATATTAGACTATGTGCATACAGATATTTAGGGTTCGGCTCAGACAACTTCCAAGGGTGGTTTCAGGTATTTTATCTCGTTCATAGACGATTATTCTAGGTATGCTTAGATTTATTTGTAGGCATCAAAAATTGCCTATAGGTTCTCACAAACAGCTCGAAGCTAAGAGAAAATGATGAATCTCACTATCCGAGTTACAAAAGCTTATTGTCGTTGATGAGCGCATGAAGTAAAGTCGACGAACCATCGGAAGCAACGGAATTACAGAATAACGAAGATACGAGCTGATCAGGAGCTTTGCGTCGCTTTAAAAGTCAAAGCGCCCCTCGTGTCCCATCTCACCCCCATGCGATTCAACCATGGGAGCTTGTATATATCCTCGCCGGCTTTCCTCCACACTTTGGATCACGTAATTCTGAGTTCGGATGACGAAGATACGGCAGAAACGGACAGAACACGCGAAACAATGCTTCAGGCCTCAGCGAGACACCCATAGGTGTCTCAGCCAAAGTTTAGCCGAGACACCCATAGGTGTCTCGGCCAAAGCTTGGCCGAGACACCCACGGGTGTCTGCAGCCCCAAAAATAATTTTTTGTCAGATTTAAGCTGTTTTTCGATCGTTAACCGTCTGGATTTGTTCCAACTGATAAAATATCATCCAAGAACATGGTTAAGTGGTTATAACTGAAGATAAGAGTGAATTGGTCATTCCTATCTGAAAATAGGGCTCCTGAAGCCTATAAATACAGCCCCAGGGCCTTTATTTTTTTGAGATCTGGAATTCTTGAGCGTTGATGAAGCCTTGCTGGATTGAAGACTGAAGCAGCATGAATTTTAGAAGAGAGTAGGAGATCAGATCGAGTTCGTTAGTATAAAGAAGAGGAGCTCGCCAGATCTACACTTTTCCGGTTCTTTGCCTTGAGATTGCCCTGTTGCGGTAATATCGAGAAGAGTGATTATCTTGCTATTGTCGAGATAATTGCTTCGGTTTCTTAATTCCTTAGCGAATCAACGAAGCTCCGGATCTAATTTGATCGTTTGGTGGTCTACGGATATCAGCATCCCTGTCACAGGCCAAGATCCCATGCAAGCAGTGGAGGATAAACGTCCGTTCCCTTACATTTGTTTTGACGAGAGTTGTATTTTTTCGTTTTTATTGTGTAAGAGTCTTATAAAAAGACTATCTTTTTTGTTTTTATTGTAATGACTGAAGTTGTAATGAATACATCAATGAAGACATCAACTTTCTTCCCAAACAAGCTGGTGACCACAGTGGGAGCCAACAGCTTCGCTGGCGAAGTTGTCATGTCACAACCAGCGATCAAGATCCTGGCGAATGAAGAGGTCGAATATGAGTTTGAACAGCAGAAGTTCAAGGAATACTTGTCCTCTAGATCCGCCTCTCTTTGCAGATCCAAAAAAGTTCGCTGGTCTTCCGATATGAAGACCCGAGAAGATGATCTCCACATCGCTATCGCTACAGTTGTAAATCGCAACGTGTCGTCGATATCCGACGAAGTTAGATCAGTGGATCTGAACTCCTCCTTGACCAAAGAGTCAATTGCTAAAGGTGCATCAACGTTGTCAAAGAGGGCGCGCCAAAGATAACGTCAACGTCTTGCACGTCAACTTGCTAAGGCTTTGGAGCCAATGGATGAGATTCGCTATAATATGGATCTGAAATCTAGGCAGCGCCAAGAACAACAATGGCAGTCGAGCAACCCCTCCTCCAAAACAGAAAAGAATGAATGGGTCCGTGTTAAAAGGACCCGCTCTGCCCTTAAGGAGTGAATCCAAAAGTGTCGTGTATTACTTGCACATGCCCAAGTCCTTGTACGGAAAGCACAAGAAATGCAGAAGGAAGAGGCAATCAGAAAATTGCCTAAACAGAAACGGGTTTGGATGCCAAAGGTTAAATCAGCGCTTAAGGCAAAAATAAACGAAGTTACCATTAAACCTTCATCAACTCCAGATCCCACTCCATTTGGTAGTGTGGACCTCACCAAATTCAGAGTTTCTTTGAAAGACCACCTTGGTCCTCTCCCCGAAGATCAACGTAAAGCACCTATTAAGGAGCGATTGGGACCGTTGAAAGGCTCCCAAACAACTATTCAGGCTAGGGGTCGTACTAATCCTCCCAGTAATAAAGGGAAAGCTCTTATGACCAACCGCATCGGATTATGAGTCGAAGTATAAGAGCCCGTTAGAGTTTCGGCTTACGAAGGCGTAAATCTGAACGAGTGACTCTTAGAGACACCAATGAAGCGTCATATCCCCAGAGAGAAACATGTTCGTCTGATGACGATATTATACCTAGGAAGTCGTGCCAACACATGATAGGTTGCTCCAGTCATCAAACCGATGAGTTGTACTATCAGGCGACAAATACGAACAAGTCTCGGAAGAGAAATGTCCAAGAGACAAACTCTCGCTGTCCGTGTGTGAAAATCATCAAGGCAGTATTGTCAGAATGCAGCTGCCACGAGACTACTCCCCAGAGGGTCTCAGTATTTAAACGAATCTCTACTGAAACGTCCGAACTAAAGACGAGGCATTTTTGCAGAAGAAGGCCAACCGGCTTAGGTAACGAGTTCCCTCGAGTAACTATCAACATGGCCGACAAGGGCAAGTCCTCGCGATACTTCAATCCTGAGTCTTTTGCAGAAGTATCTCGGCGCATGACTTGGCTATGGTCTAGAACTGTTAGACCTAGACCCAGGAGGTCACGGTCCTCCAATGACGAAACGTCAGATGCTTGCTCTGCGTTAGCTTCTGACGATACAGCATCCGGTGCAGGGCAATCTTATGAATCATTCATGATTAATGCCGAAAAAATGTCTAAAATTCTCAAGGATGCTTTAGCTAAGCAGAAAGAGAATTTTAAATTCGAGATGGAGATGGCTATGTAGGAGATGAGAGACATGCACAACCAACAAATTGCGGTGCTGACGAATCAGTAGGGAGAGTCCAGCCATTGCAATAATCTTAACCAAGCTGATAGCGACCGAGAAGTGGATGAGAATGCCAACATGGACACCCCTCCCATTGACAACAATGCTAGTGGTGGTCCCTCGGATGATAACAATACGAAGGAGGACCACGTCACTTCTCCTCGGAATCACTCAAAGAAAGATAAGAACAAGGATAAGAAGATGAGAGACTTGGAGAGCAAAATCAATGCGTTGATGAATGCTCAAGAAGTGAAGAAGTCTGGGATACTCTGTCCTTACCCGAGAGAGTGGGAATCAATCCCATACCCGGCAAAGTTTAATTTGATCAACTTCATGCCATTTGACGGAAAGGGTTCCTCCACTCAGCACTTAATATACTTCAAGTCTCATTTGGGAATAATCTCCGGAAATGAGCCCTTGATGGTACGGTTATTCATTGGCACTCTTGAGCAGCCTTCAATTGGTATCACCATCTTAAGTCGGGAAGTATCAGCAGTTGGGATGACATGAAAGACACGTTCCTCACAAATTTCTTCAATGACGATATTGAGGTTTCAATCAGAACGTTATTCGATGAGAAGCAGAAGGATGGAGAGTTGGTCAAAAATTTCGTCAAACGATTCCAGAACAAAGCTATGAATTATAGAGATCCGGTCAACGAGGACTTCATCCTGGAAACCTGTCACAACAATCTTTCTCTGGATATCCTCAAAGCCATGGGAATGGCGCCATCCAAGACTTAGAAGGATTTGAAGGTCCAAGGAGAATGAGCCGAATGCTTTCTCAAAAGGAAGAAGGCCGAAAGAGATCAGACAGCGACTAATGCCCCGTAGCAGAATTTTGTCCCCCGGGGCAAAGGAAAGGCACAAGCAAACACAGTGGACGCGAATTAAACGTTCAAGCTGTAACCGCAACCGCAACAACAGCAACAAAAGGCACCTCAGTAGTCACGGTGGTAACAATAACCTAAGAAACAGAAGACTTCAGAACCAAAATTCCCGAAGGTTTACTCTTTTAAAGAAGACGAAGTCCCTAGTATTTTCAAATACCTCATAGAGAACAACAAGATAAGACAAGATCCAAGCTTTGATCGACGTTGGGGTCATTACTATGAAACAGTCTAAGGAAAAGAAGGTGGGTGCGAACGTAGTGTCAATCAGCTTCGGGTCTGTTCCTTTGAATTGGTTTCAGTCTGAAACCATAATGAACATAGCGGTGAAGACTGTCAATGACGATCCTCACGAACAACACCAGAAAGGACTTATGCCACACACAACCCCAAATGGCGAGATTCTCTGGGTCCATCCCAATCTAATTGAAGATGAACAGTGGGCCGGATCGTCATCCAAGAAGAAGTCAAAAGCGAGAGGAAAATCTTGTTGCGGAGCCTCGGCTATCCCAGAAAAAGAGGATGAGGAAATCCCGACCTTCCCGCTCTCCGAAGATGAGCAAGAAGTCTTTGCGACCAACAAAGAACCCTTCTTTACTACCCGGAGTGGAAACGAATACCATTTCAAGTATCCAACCGCCTCCAAGCAGTTAGCTAAGCAGGGGGTAATCAAAACCATTCCATCCAAGACATTAGCAGAAATATGAGTGATTACAATTCCCCCGGCACCTGTTGACAGAACTCAACAAAAGCTAAAGGAGAAAGAACCCTTACACCAAGAGGATCAGAACCCGAAGCAGTCTCGATTCAATCAATTGATTGGAAGAGATAAACCGGGGAGCTTGAACACTCCCCACCGCTTTGACATTATGACACAGTTAGCCAATATACCAACCAGAATAACTCTATATGAGCTGCGACGTCTTTCGAAAGACATGAGGGAAGCATGCAAGAAGCCTTGGCAAATTCTGACGTTTTCCTGACTCAAATCAAGCCATCCCCTGAAGAACCGGAGCCGTTAGCCCAACATTGCAATCTCGCGGCACACCACTTTCCCTGTATTTCTTTCACCAAGGAGGACATGCAGACAAAGAATTCAAAGGATGACCGGCCCTTGTACTTCACCGGGCACATTGGCTCTAGTGTTGTCAACCGGATCCAAGTCGATCCGGGTTCCGTTGTTAGCATCAT